TTTGGCATAAAGTGTTCCTAAGCACAGACAGAAATCCTGTACACAAAGGAATATCCTCTTCCAACACGTCACACATCACATCCGGGTAGGATTTCCTTTGGGGTCGGGGCAGCACCGGGGATCAAATGGAGGACCTCACCCATGCTGAGCAAGCACCCTACACCATGCTCCATTCCCCACCCTGATTTCACATATGCTAAAGGCCTTATATGTCTCTTCAAGCTTTTACGTTAGGTGCTTAATGATTTTTCCATATTATTAAAGGAACAGAAATCAGGAGTTGAAGAGGAGGATGCAGACAATTAGAGTATAACAAAGCCTTATAAACAAAGATGGATCTTTGTTCTCCCCAAAAATTTCCAACATAGACAGCAGAAGACTCCCGACTTCAGCTGTGCAGATGCTACACAAGAAAAGAATATTAATATCCAGGCCAGATCTGTGAGCTATGTCTCATCTCAGAAGAGAGGATTGGCTGCCCAATACTTCAAAGATTACAGCGCCACCAAAAGAATGCAATTCCTTTTGGTCCCAGCCCTTGGAACATTTATCTTTTATCTCTTTTGATGAAAGCCATTATAACAGGTGTGAGGTGATATCTTGTTACAATTTTAACTTGCATTTCCCTGATGATTAATGATAATTTCTTTTCATGAACCTGTTGTTAGTACATCTTTTTTCAGAAGCATTTATTTAAATAAACACTTGTCAATATTTTAATTGGGTCATTAGGTTTTGCTTTTGCAGTAAGTTCCTTATATCTTCTGGAGATTAACACCTTTTCAGTTGTATTGTTTGCAAACATTTTCATCTGTAACTTTATTTTGTTTCTTATGCCACGCTCACGGTTTTTTTAGTTGATGCAATCCCATCTGTGCACTTTCTATTTAGTGCCTAAGTTTTCAAGTCATATCCAAGACAATCATTATCTAGATCAATACAAAGAAACTTTCCTTGTGTCTTCCTGAGTAGTCTTACAGTTTCAGACCTTAGGTTTAAGTGTTTAATCCATTTTAGCTTATTTTTGTGTAGGACACAAGATAAAGGCCTGGGCTGGCGAGACAGCTCAGCAGACTAAGAGCCTGTTTAGGCAAGTGCAGGGACCTGGGTTCGATCACAGCACCACAGGCCATGCCAGCCACACCCCCAGCTGCACTGAGCCACCCCCTGGGGATGCTGAAAACAGGAGGATCACTACAATCCAAACTATGTTGGGAGACCCTGGAACAAATACATGAAAAAAAAGATAAAGGCCTCATTTCATTTTGCACTCTGTGGATCACCAGTTTCCCCAGCACTATTTACTGAACACACCGTCCTTTCCCCATTGTGTGTAGTTGGCACACAATGTGTCAGAAATCAATTGCCACCAATTAAAAAAAAAATCAACTGCCACAAACATATGGGCAGGCTTCTTATACTGTTCCACTGGTCACTGCCGCTATTTTTATGCCAGTACCATATTGTTCTGATTACAATCACTATTAAAATCAAGGAGGGTGATATGGCTACAGGATAGTCTTTTTGATCAAAAAGGGTCTTCTGTAGTTTCATAGAAACTTAAGGGTTTTCTATTTCTATGATAAATGTTAAAATTTTGCTAAGCAAATGATGAAATAATTGATCACTTTGGGAGGTACAGACATTTTAACATTAACTGACCCAATCCAGAAACAGAAGATCAATTATTTATTAATGACAAGGGAAAGCAGTAATTCTACAATGAAAACTCAAACAGATATCACATTAATCAAATATGTGCATAAACATCAGTGAGTCAAATGCTAGCCAGGTGTGGCAGTACACAACTGTAACCCCACGATCTGGGAAGCAGAAGAATCCCAAGTTTGTGCCTGGCCTGGGCAACTTACAGAATTAGCAAGAACCAGTCTCAAATAAAAAATGAAAAGGACTGAAGAGCCAGGGAGATAGCTCAGCAGTCTAAAACGCCTGCTCAGGCAAGCTGAGGCAGGTGTAGAGGACCGCAGTTCGATCCCCAGCACCACATGCCGCACCAGCCCCACCCTTTTTTTGGGCTGAGCCAGCCCCCCAAAAAAGGACTACAGATAGCTCAGTGCAGAGCCCCGAGGTTCAATCAATTCCACTTCCCCCCCAAAAAATTGCCAGGCACTGTGCCACACACCTGTAATCTCAGCACATAGGAAGTCGAGGCCGGAAGACCGCCAATGAGTCTGAGGCCAGCCTAGGCTACATAATGAGTTCAAGGTCAATCTGAACTGCGTAGCAAGACTATCTCAAATAATAATAATAATAATAATAATAATAATAATAATAATAATAAGGGCCAGGGATATACCTCAGCAGCATAAGCACCTGCCTGGCAAGGTCAAAGTCCCAAATTCAATCCCTGGTACCACAAAAACAATAATAATAAACAAATGACAGCTACACCTCGTGATATAACACATGAAGACAAAAACTACATTGTACTTCTCTCAAAATGCACAAGCTTAATCTAAAAAGAAAATATCAGATAAATTTGGCCAAAAGACAGCCCACAAAATAATGCCCCATATTACTCAAAAATATCAGGTCATGAAAGACAAAGACTGATTAACTTTTCCAGATTAAAGAAAACAAGAGACATGAAATTAAATATAGTATGTGATCCTGGATCAGAAAAGAAAAAAACTGAACAAAGGATAGTTAACATTAGGTCAGCAGGTAGACTAAGAAAAGGTACACAGTTGGTATTGTTGCAGGCAGCCAAATTAGACACATCTAGGTCAGGTCAGGAGTTTCGCTTCCCCTACATAATTTGGAGGTCCCTATATCAGTTTTTCTCCCTATATCAGTATTATGATCATCAATGTTCAACTTAGTGATTTTGAAAACATTGTGGCTATAAAATTGATAATTCTTAAGAAAGACATTTAAGTATTTAGTACAAAAGGAACAAACACGATGCCTATAGTTTAAGTGACTGAAGAATCAGGCATGGTGGCACACCTATTGATCCCAGCACTTGGGAGGCTGAGGCAGGAGGATCACCTGGAGTTCAAGGTCAGCCTGGGCTACATAGTGAGTTCAAGACTGGGCTAGACTACATAGCAAGTCCCTGTTTCAAAAAGCTTAAGTACATAAATGATTCAAGAAAAACAGTATGCAGGGTTCCAGCAACTCTGGCGGCGGGAGGAACGGCAGCGGTCGAGCTGCGTATCTCCGCGAGGCTCCCGTGCGCCTCGACCCGCAGCCTCCGCACGCGCCC